GCCATGGTTTATGGTTAATAGTAGTTATCCTGCCCATTTCATTGCCCGACATGTTGTATTTATCCTCTGTGCCTCCCATGGCGCAAATTACAAGGAGCTTAGTACTAGAACTACATGAGCTAGCTCTCTCCAACAATGCATGCACCCGTACGTGATCTCTAAGCATAGATGCCACGCGCCTGGAAAAAGCCAGCAAATGCGAGAGTTGGTAAACCAAAGGGTTAGATCCTGTCGATTCGTTTTTGGCAAGTGACTGGGCTGCTAAAAGTGACTAACTTTTAGTGGGTTAAACGGAAACTGCCACCAATCAGCTAAAACAGCCAAAAAGCCAAGGAACCGGATGAGTGGGACGGTGAGACACACCTAAGAAGGGGGTCGCTGCCTCTCGGCTCGCTGAAGACGAACTCCTCGCCTCGGCTCCGGCGCCGGTGCCGGCTCCAGAGACTCGGAGGAGTCCTGCGCCAGCAGCCGCTTCTCCGACCTTCCGATGTGCGGCTCGCTCGGCTTGGTGCTGCAACTCATTGGGAGAATGGTTCAGTGAGGGCGAAGTCACCTTTGGATTGGATTGCTGGTTTGGTGGGGTGGTTTCCACCCCTCTCTGTTGCAAGAGCCTACAACTCCCGATTGCGTTTCAAAGTGACTGCTGGGATCCAAAGGACCGGAAACCTCGCTCTGCCACTCCAGCGGGCCTCACATCCTGAAGGCCCCTCTCGTTTTTCTGCTTGCCCCTTAAAGGGACCTGGAAATAAACAAAGGTTCACAACTTGGAACCTCACCAACAATGGGAACCCAAGAAGGGGGCAAAACCAAGAGGTCGATTGATCCGGTCGAATTTCGCTTTGGGCAACTGAGTTGCGTGTGGTCGGCAAACTTCCGTTTAGACAGCGACGAGCCTGGCGACCATTTGCGAAGGCAACCCAAGAGCCAGATTCGGGGCCACTGTGGGACACAACCCATTTCTTTCGCACCAGCTGGTAGGGGTTCATCAATCCCAAGTGGTGCGAATTGGATTTCGTCCACCACCCTCCCATTTTGAACAGAGATCCGCCCTCTAAACCTGGAATGTTGTTCATATGTTTCGTCTTTCCCCAGGCTACAAATGGGTGTGTTTTTGCAGGGGGCCGGTTGTCCTTCTGGTTTGCACCCTCAAAAATGTATCTTTTCAAGAATTTCACGTAGGTCAACCGAGGGAAGCCTAACGTCCAAATCCTTTCAGAGGGTAATACATTGGATGTCAGACTTTCGTTGGGATCTCGGACTACGGTTCTCGCTGGCCATTTGAGACTTTGGGCAAGGGGTGGGTCTCACTGGATCCAACCTGTGGCAAGGCCCTTTGAGTCATGATCAAAACCTGGTACGGTCTACCCAGAACCGTGCAAAGAATTAACATGGCGGCGAAGGCATCCATTTATGGTTGGGACTATCCCTTACTTTCCTCCAACCCGGGTCTTGATTGTGGCTCATCTTGGGTTCCATTGTTTGATTTCCCGCAGGTAGATTTACACCCAGCCCCGCGTTTGAGTCTACCTGTGGGACATCAACACCTGCAGCCTTGGTATAACATAATTTTGGGCCCCACTGGTTTCCCTTGAGCCACGATTTAGAAGAAGTCACTTCTAATCCGCCCGGTCTGAAGGATGGCGCGCTCAAGGGCGAAAGGGCAAGAGTACTCTGCAACATTGACACGGAACCTTTCTGGTTCCTCCAAAAAGAGTTTCCCCTGCAAAATGCTTGTGGGATGAATGTTAAGCGGAGGATGGAGCCTATGGCTTCCGTTTTGAGGCGAAGGCTGAGGACATCAAGCCAATCTCCTACCGTGGTTCGAGCTAGGGAACACAAACTCAGTTGCCCAAACGGCTCACCTTTTTGGGTTGCCATGGCTAACATGAAGGTCCCTTTCTTGGCTCCTCCGAGCCCCTTCCACATGTTTTCCATATGGGGCCCTCTACCCCTAGGACTCTCAGAACCCTCCGGTCAGAATGCCTTCCAAGGTGAGGAACTTGGGATTCCTCCCTGTTGACCCGTTCAAAGTCCAATGTCCTGATGACGCTTCCTGGTTTTCTGCCTGTATAGTACCCAAATGCATCTTCTGCCGAGAGACTCAGTCGCATCTTCCTGGCAGGTTGGATTTGAGAGGCCCAAACGATTCCCCTACGCAGGGGAAAGTTGAATTCATAACACCCAGAAAGGCCACAATAGTGAGGTTATGAACCTTGCCCTGCATGGTGGGCACCAGGTAGTGGACACATTTTTGAATTCAAGAGATGGGTATACCCCAATTCGTGTCCTGAGGCCCGGCCCCCATTGACCCCAAGCAACGAAGGGTTCAAATCCACCCATCGCTTCGGTCGCAACCGGATGTCATGCAGACAACCTTTGAAAATGCCATGAACTCCTCCCGTCTTAATTGCTATTGGGTTGAACCCACCAAAAATTGCACTGTCTGAAGAGAAATCAACAGCAACCATGCAAGGGAACCACACTTCAAAAAGCAACCGGAAGTGGCTGGTGGCCTACTACACAGGTATCTGGGATCCACTGCCCTAGTGCATTAGTTGAGCAGCACCAAAGGGGCCGAGATCAGGTGCTGCGATGCGGGAAATGCCCTACGGGTGTCCAGTTGGCTTCCCGCTTCGCTTTTGCAACCGACACCACCCCCATGGATTATTTTACACATCTGTGTCGCGGTATCTCCGCGACACATCTGCAGCCCACCCGCCATAAGCTTATTTAGCACGTTTCGGACACAACGTGTTTTATTGTTCTCTAGTATTGATGATGTACACGTATGTCTCACAGTATGTACCCCCGCCCTCTGCGAAAAAGGCGAGCTTGTTGTGCGACTGGTAGTGAGGAGAAGAAACATGTTCCAAACAAGTTGAAGGCTTCAAATGCGAAAAGGACACCTGCCAAAAGACAACAACTAGCGGAAACTGACAGGGAAACCCAAAGGGAAACGTAAAGGGAAACCGAAGCCAATAATGAAGCCCATGTGTCCGAATATAAACAAATAAACGCATATACATGCACATCTACACCTGCACCTGTATATATACAAATATGAACGTATATGCTCCCCCCCCCCGCTGCCCCATTTGTCCAATAGTTGCGCGGAAACTTGCACAGAACACTAGACAACAAGGAGCACCCAGGAGGGGAATAAATTTCGCAATATGGCTTTTAGATTTCTAAAGTCTGCATTTAGAGCTATCTGGTTGGCAGCTTTTTTGGGGGCGTCCCCCCAAAACAATGAGGAACATCAAAAGGCTAAACATGTGCGGCAACCGTGCGAACCTCATCCTGCAGGTTGTTGATGCCGCTCATCTTCGGCGCCTGAGGACCCGCGAACCCGTTTGCTCTCTGAAACTTGCTCCAAACCGATGGCCACACAGGAAACATGCTCCAAGTTGCAGGATTCAAGTTGCACCCTTTCCCTGCTTCAAGGAGCCGTTTTGGCGCCGTTTGGGGGACCGGAAAGAAATGCCGCTGAGCAGCTGCATGTTCATTTCATGTCCAGGATCACGCTTGAGATGGGCCAACAAAACGTAAGCGAGCTGTTGCTTGCCACTACAAGGTCCAAACCCCAACAGTCGCTAAACTCAGGGAGTGGGAGTCATTGAAAGTGGGTTTTGATTGAACGGCAAGACAACGGTGCAACTTGAACCAGTTTGATCACATGGTAAGTCTACAACTGACTGGGTGACATCTGCAAAAACAACGCTTTCGGTGCCACTTGGCACCACTTAAGTGTGCATGGGGACTCCCAAAACTGTGGGTTTCCCGTTTGGGTGTCCCTTTAAAAACAGCCAAAATGGGTGTGCCCACAAAACAAGACACGCACCGGGGATAGATGAAGCCCCAGATCCCAACTGGACCAACTGAAGCCTGGATGTTTGGAACTTGGCCAAAATCCGACCAACTGGGAAACAAAAAAGGTCAGGTCAGATCTGGTCGATTCGCTTTGGGCAAGTAAGCAAAAGGTGGGTTGCTTCCCTCCATTCCATTTGGTGGTTTTGAGCTCTGTGGTTTGGTGGTTACTGAGGGGAAGTTAAAGGGACGCCAAGATCACCTGCTGCTCCCGGATTTGTCCACCTACCCAAGGCCCCAAGCGCTTGAAGCTTTCACAAATGGGGCCGTTTGCTCAGGACCCATGTTAATCTCGGAGTAAAAAACAAACACCAAGGGACCCACACACACACACATTGTCATGGAGAATTGTGGATACCTTCTCAAGTAAAGGGGCGTGTTTTGATCTTGGTGCTTCAACAACCCACGCCAAGTCTCTGTGAAAAGGAAGCCAAAAGGAGGTCGTTGAACCATTCGTGTTCAAACGCTAGTTCAAACAAGGGGTTGGATGCTCGTGCCTTCGCTGACATCAGCGACGCTTTTCCTTGGAGAGCTCGCTCATGGCGCGCGAGTCGCAAGCGAGTGATTCAGTGATGGAGAGATGTCGACAGATGGGAACTCACTTTTCATGGGCTGCTTGGCCGCCCTGTGGTTTGGACAAAAGGTCTGAATCCAGTTGCTTGGAGCGGGCTTGACTCAGCTTGCGAATGGAGATTTGGATGGGGCTTGGAATGGAGCTTCAGTTGGTCTATGCATTCACATCTTAGGCGCGAAAACTGCAGCGAGCCAGGACCCCCAATTAACAAAAAGGTAAGATCCGCCTTCTAAGCTTTAATGAATTCAGCAACCCTCGCCATCATTGGACCTGCATGGGAGTCTGGATCTCTGTTGGAAGGGTTTGGACCTCAAAATCACGCCCCTGTTTCGCTGTTTGAGGTGCCAAGAGTCTTGGGTTGGGCGATTTGCTGCACTTCCCAAACCCCGTTGGATTCGTCTCGAAACAGAGATTCAATTAGAAAAAGGAGAGGAGCGGAGCGGAGGCCGAAAAAAGCACTTTGCGCCCTTTAAGAACGACCCCATTTTTAGGGTGGCTCGGCACCTGAAATTGAACACACCCACCCCACTGCTTCAGGCCAGCCGAATCCCGGGGGCACGGTGACCAACGAAGAGCTCTTCGACCTGGCGCGCGAAGAGCTGGCCCGCAACCGCATGGGACATGGGCCCGTGCGTCGTTTTGCGTTGGGAACCCACCAAAAAAAAGCGCAGCTTCATGCAGCTTCCCTCGAAAAGGGTGGCTTGGAGCCGAATCGGTGATGTTTCCAATTTACCCTCTACCAGGATTCAAATTTCAAACTAAGCTACCAATCCAAACCATCACCTAAGGGTTCCCTGAAGGGTTCCCTCAAAGAAAGACAAGTCTATTATTTCAAGATTGGGTCTGCATCTGTGGCACTCCAGAAAAAAGATTGTCAAGCGTCTGCTTCATATTTGGTCTAGCCTAAAGTTAAAAGTATGTTTGGATGAGACCAAAACCCATCTAAGCCGGTGTCGCATATTGCTAGCGAAACCAACCTAAAATGACACCTATGCCTAAGGGGGCTGGAAAGCTTGACTTGGGATCTCTTGAGGCTTCCTCTTGAAATTTACGTAGGACCTCGTCCCCTAAAGGGGCCACCAATACCTTCATAGTCTCAGAGAGTTCTGGGCCACAATGGCGAAGTGAGGGGCTCCTTCTGGTGACTTTCTAGTTTTCACTGCTGTTCAGCTTCCCCGTATTTGGTGGCTTGGATTTGCATTTGACCCCTGGTTCTTGTGGAGGGTACCTGGAAAACCGCCCTAATCTTCAAACCATCGGGCCCAATTGGAGGGAAGCTGACTTCTGGATTGTCTTCTTTTTGAGGGAACCCTCTTCAGATTGCAAGGGTTTCCCTTTGGCTCCCTTTAAGCCGGCAACCCCCCAAAAAAAAGAAAGAAGAAGGCCCGGACTCGATATTGCTGGCTTCCGTCCGACTGTTCTCAAGTTAGCCCAGCCATCTGCTTCTCAACGGGTCCCCTAAAGGGGCGCACAAACAAACACGACAAGTTGGGTGGCTCGCCTTTTTTGAGGTTCGGTACTGGCTTTGGGAATGGCCTAAAGGGAACCAAAAGAGCAAACACACTCTCTTCTTGTCTTTGCTTTTTGGGGGGGTCACAGATTTTGAGACACACCCAGTTGCCCAAAGGACCTGGAAATGAAAGGTGGCCACCTTTTGGAGTCTAAACATGGGAGCTTCTTCTGCTTGTTGGGGGGGAAGCAGATTGCGAAGTGAGTCTGGTTGGACACCCCTTGTCACCACAAAGCAGGGATCACACTGCTCCGCGAATAAGATCACCCTTGGTGGTGGTGTGGTGTGCCGCATTACTACCGTAATGGATCCAAAAGGGGACATGGGAACAAACAAACACCTGGGGAAAGCCACCCAGAAAAAGTGCCGCAAACAAGCGCCCAAGGGCAATGGGAACGGACATGTTAGGGGGCCAAAGCCCCAACAAGAGGTTTGAACTGGTTCATGATGGTACCACCTCAGGGCAAACGGTGGTATAACTTCAAGTACATCTCAACTGCAGCCGTTCCGAAAATGTCTCAGAAGGTTCGCAGCTTGCGCACAGTAGTCAAATCTGCACACGTTCCCCGCGTACAATCATTCTAGCTCATTGTACTGGGTTTTCAAAACTGTGAACAAAATCCTCGGACATCACTGCGCATACCTGGATGCATAATCCAAAGGGTGGTTATGGACTAGCATCTGCTGCTTCTGAATAAGTAATGAGCGCAAAACTCCTGGACGAGGAAAACCGGCTACCGCTGTGTCCTTCCAGGAAACGTGTCCCCTCATGAGGGAACAATAAACGACACAAAACACGTTTTCTGTTTGACAGTGGCACAGAAGGGCTGACTAGTTAACCAGTATCCCCCTGTCCAGGAACCCTACAGGGTGTGTGCCTCCTGGGCAAGGAAACACGTGTCCCTCCTGGAAATCAACAGGCACCCCTGCCTTTCTAGTTGGTGGTTTTAAAGGGAAATCAAAAGGGACACCATCCTTTTGGGGACCAAAAAAGACACACGCAATTGTCCACTGCCATGTTGTTGAGTGCCTGAAATCGCAATTCAAACGTGATGCTGGCCGACGGGATCCGACGGGTCAGCGCAGGTGTCGGGGCCCCGTGCTGGTATGCAGTGGGCGTTAGCCCTAAGGCGTCGTTCAGCTCGGAATCCTCAGCATCCTGCGGCACCAGTGCGCGGGTGGGGGGGTGCGGGTACTCGAGGGGACCACAAACGATGCAGCCTGGACCAGAACCAAAGAAACATTTTTTCACACGGCATCAACATCTGCACGAATTACCATTCACAAATTCTCATTTGCGAGCTTGATCTACCCCAGCGTGAGCCCGCCCAAAAAAGAGTGCAGCATGTTCGCTGCAAAAGAAAGATTTATTCAATCTCGAAATTATGTTGTCGCAAAAACTGCCTAACCATCATTGGACCCTCCTTTGGAGGGACCTGGATCGGGCTTGGACCTCTAGACAAAAATGCCTCTTTGCAGTACCAAGATTCTTAGGCCTAACGTTTCCAAATTTTCTGCACCCATCGTTAGTTGTTCTGTCTCGAAACCTCCTATTGTCCGGCCAGGTTGTTAAAGAAGGCTGAAGAGAATGAAACTGGAGGGCACAACTAGGTTCGGGGTTTTTTGTTGTCTTGTCCCCACATTAGACCTCGGGGAACCGATCGCTAGGTTCCAATGTCTGAAAGGATCGCTTCTCTGGATCTGGCGGACAAAACTCCACAAGAAAGGTGGACATCAGAAGTGGGGATTCACGTCCTAGCATTTGCAAGGTCTGGTTCCGTCCGAAAAATCATATAATCATGGGCAACAGTCCTTTCCATTCTCCTGCCCCCAAAAACGAAGTTGAATCCCAAAGATTCCCTCCTCACTTCCGCTGACCCCCAGAAACAAACCCCAGTAAAAAACAAAAAAACTTTCTGACTTAACTCCCAGAAGCACACTCAAACCTCAGTTCCGATCGAGTGGATTGGCCACCAAACAGTGAGCCCAAATTGTTCATTTGCAACTAAAAAGGTCCAAACCCAAAAAAAATGACTAAAAAAATCCAGGAACTCAGGAAGTGAGATTCAGATCCAGCATAGGACAAAATATCGCCCAGCCTGCAACAAAAACTCCCTTAATCTCCCGGGCATCAGCCTTGCATGTATCAAGCTCCTCTCCAAAGAAACTGCAAGTCTTGGACCAGCAGTGCTTGACTCCAGTGAAAGGTCTTTAGGGTACTGCTTGTCACCCACGTGAACAACAGCCTTCAGCAAACCATCGCCATCGATGTCCGCAATGTGACCAGTTCTGGCGTCGGTGTCACGCCACTGAACAAGCTCTACCCGCGAAGAAAGCGGCGCAGCCTCATCCTTAGGAAGTAGCACCACAAATGTCCCGCCCTCCACCCGCGTCGCCAATGGCAAAGTCTGGCAAGTCTGCTGTTGAACCAACGCATTGACGCTGTCGTTGCCCAAAGGACCTGAAAATAGAAGGTGATCACCTGTTGCGAGCCTGACCTCGTACCCAAGTAGACCGATCAGGCAAAACTTTTTCACATTGAAGGGCTTTGCCCACGCAACGCAGCAGTTTGAAACCACATTAGAGCGAAAGGTAAAGAAGAATCGGAGCCTTTTTCGGGTTGACCACTTGTAGCACAGTTGCCCAAAACACCCAGACAGAAAGGCGATCACGTGAACAAAGGGAAGCCCAAAGGTTCAAGGCCGATTAGCCGTGGGCAAGTGCAGAAAGGATCGAACTCACGCAATGGGACAGGCCCTGGACGGATCAACCGCATAACAGTAATAAGATGAATAACCAACACGAACGCACGCAAACTCCTCTGAGTCTGCGGACCACGAAAATGAAAAGTCCTCTGCGGAGACATCCTTCTGGGAGCCTCGGTCGAAGGCTCGAAGCAATAGCAGCCGAGAATTACCCCATCCGCCCCTTTCCCCACCAAGAGTCCCTTTTTAGATAGCTTTGGCATGCAAATTCGGGAGCCAGAACAAGATCCACGTGCCGCACCTGTGCTAAAACAGAGTGTCAAACCATGTCAAAACACACATACCGTGGGTGGACAGAATCAATTTCGCACCAACTAAGAAACCCTGCAATGGTTCGAATCCGGGGCAGTGATCGCTGACGGCTGAGTGGCGATGGCTTCGGCCACTTGGTTCACTTGGTCCACTTGGGCCACTTGGTCCACTTGGTTCTCGGGGGCACATATCTTGGTCCACATGGTCCGCTTGCCGGAGGCCCAGTGCACAAGTGCCACTTTGCAAGTAGACCTGGAGTGGACAAAGCTTGAGAGCTTGCCAACCCAGCGGACAAGTGGACCGGTGTGTGTGGGTGTGGGTGTGGGTGTGGGTGTGTGTGGGTGTGGGTGCGGGTGGAGGGTGGGCGGGTGGAGGGTGGGTGGGTGGTGAAGGGTGGGAGCGGGGGGGTGGGTGGGTGCTGAGTGGGAGACGTTGGAGCAATTCCTGCCGGCAACCAGCGAAGAGCCCTAGGATTGCCAGGAAATGCACGGAATTTCTGCAAACCTACTTACAGAAGATTGCAGGGATTTGGCGGGACCTGTGCCGAGACTACAAGGGGTTGGTGTTTGGGCCTTTGCTTGATTGAAACCAAAGGGAATTGAACAAGCGATGAGCTGGCTGAAAGCCTTCAACCAGCTGGAACACCTTGTTGCCCACGCACCACAAAGTCTTGGACTGGTCCATTCAGAGTTGCAGGCCCGGCCGTGCTCCTCACCTGATCGCGAGATCTCGCTTGGTGACCAAGCACATCAGCCTGGGCCAAGCTGCCAAGCGCACTCCAAGCACTATTGTCTTGAAAGCTTCACGTCTTGTGGCACAACACGTCCACGCACGGAGCAGCTTTGCATGGCTCCTTATCTGACTGAAGCACGTCATGATGGATGAAGGCTAACATGGGGCCAAACATGGTGGGAGTGCGGCATCACGCTGCTGGTATTGCAAGTAAGCTGGCACATGGATGGCACAGCATCGTTGGAGACACTTGATTAGGGTGGCCATCAATCAAGGCGATCTCAGCCGCATCCCAAGAAGGCATCTGCTGCAGTTGCTAGGCAACCTGAAGGCTTGCCCGGCTGTGACGTGACCACACGCAGAGGATACGAATTCCGCCGGGATTCGTAAGCGGACCCCGCGCCACAAAAAGAGCAAAGGGCATGGTGCTACGCCGGGTTCATCGAACATGCAACATCACCGGCCTTCTTCAGTGGGACTTTTGGCCAGAAGCGAAAAGACGTCGAAAGATACGTGTTGGACGCAGTCTTTCGGGATGGGCCGCACAAGTCTGCGTCTCCACTGTCAATGGCGCCCGCAGCTTCCCTGCCGCGATGGTGGCCCGCGTCCTTCCACTTGTGCAGCATTCTTGTCAAGCAGCTGCTGAACTTCCAAGACGAACCATCACGTGGCGCGCCGCACGATCAAGCCGCAGCAATCTTTGGGGGCTTGGGGGAATAAAAAAGAAACCGCGCATTTGCAGTCATGCGGGGTCCAAAAACACCTCCCCAAACCCGAGTTGATTGAAACACGCTCGAAACACTATTTTACTTCTCTACGGTTGGCCCAATATTGAGCTTTTGGCTGATTAAAGTTTGCCATTTGAGAGATGGGGCCAATCACTTTCTAATTTCTACTTGCTCTCCAAATTGCGAAGCTCCCAAGTGGAAACGCGATCTGAAACAATTTGCGGACAGTCCAGATCCTGTCCCTTACAAGCCTTTAATAAGCAAAATCGCTTTTCCCGGACGCGCTTGTGTATTGAATTGCGCGCGCCCAGAGAGCCCACGCAAAATATGTTGAAAAGCTGGGTTCAGTTTGATGGTGCAAAATAAACAAATGCAAAGAGCCGGCAGCAGCGGACCCAAACAGCTGCCACGGTGCGCTTGGCTCCCTCCTCCTTTGCGCAACAAGCTTCTGTAGAAACATGAACGACGGCTAGCTGCAAGCTGCTGAATGGCTGGTGACGTAAAGCTCGCGCTTGTTTGCAGCCAGTATAGCAGCTTGATCTTCTTAGCTGGTTAGTTGCCAGGACCGTTTGCAACACTTACACGTGCGCGGTCTTGCGAAAAGAAAACCCTCATCTTCAACGTTGAAGTTTAACTTCGAATTTTAGAAGGACTATGTTTAACTAACACTCCTCACGAGTTTGTTGGTCTGAGGCTTTGGGCCATAGCTTTGACACATGACTGCAAGGAGCTTCGCACCATACTCTTTCCACAGTTGCCATGCCCACGAGAACTCCAGGATGCGCCACGATAGCATTTCACAATGTCGCCTCAGACAAGGCTCCCCCGCAAGGGTGGCTCTGTGAACACGAACACGTGCGAAAAAACGGTAACGGCTACCCAGCGCTGAGCAGGTCCGGGGTGTGTTCCCAGGTAACCCCGCCGTTGAAACACATCCAGTGTTTCAAGTGTCTGGTGGGACCGGTTATTCGCTGGGCCGGGCCCCAGAGCGCAACTCGACCATGGGTCACATAGTGCATTGATCTGTGAGGCATGGCGCAAATCAGAAACGATCAGTCGCACGCTTGACAGCTCAAAAGCAAAGTAACCCGCGTGAAAACAAGGTGTCGAATGAAGCTTGCAGAGCGGCAGGCAGAAACACGTGAAAACAACGCATATCCATCATCCACGCTATGCGCTTCAAGCACCTCGTTTGCCCTAGGAAAGCCATACACGCTCTTCATTTGTCAAGCCCACAGCGAAGGTTGCCAAGAATTTCAGACATGAATTTTTCTAGACCTTAGCGTAGCTGCACGCAAGGATGAGAACGACCCCCCCCCCCCCCATTTTACAAGATGTCCGCCCGCCGTCCTCGTCAATATTAGCTGGCGGTCTCTCAACTGGCTTGACTTCAGCGTCTGTGCCACTTGGTCCACTTGGCCCCTTACGTACACTGCTAGCGAGTGGCCAATGGCTTCGGCCACTTGGTCCGCTTGGCCACTTGGTGCACTTGGTCACTTGGGCCACTTGTTCGTGGCCACTTGGTCTACTCGGTCCACTTGCTTGCGGAGCAAGTGGACCAAGTGGCCAAGTGGACCAAGCTTTGCTCGGCTAGCAAGTTGGACGCATCGCCTTCAGCTTAGGTGGTGCGAAATGGATTTCGGCCATCCACAGCATGTTGAGCCCCAAATTCCATCAGCTGGCACCCATTTGGGGACTGCCTTTTTGGGGCCGTATTTGCAGAGGGGGCAATGGGAACACCCCAGCCCAGAAGCGGTTCGTTTCCTCTACCAGGGTGAGTGGACAACCGGGAGAAGGAAGCAACGCATTGGCAAAGTTGGATTTTGTAGTTGGTGCCCTAGCGTTTTGGACCAGGTTGTGCAATCCTTAGGCTTTTTCATACCTGCAAAAGGAGAAAAGAGCAATCCAGAAAATATGTGTTTTTCTTTGACATCCAATTCAGCCACAACCTCAAACAGCTTGACAGTTTTCGCAGTCGAACTTTCTGGACCGTCCGCGGAAAAATGACTCAGATGCATTCATGTGCCGCGGCTCTTCCACTGGAAGGAGGTCCCGACCGCCCAAAAAAAAATGTTCCCAAGTGAAGACGTCAGAAGCTTCTCAAAATTACTCATTGGCGGGTTTGCCGCATTTCAAGCCTAGGTGCCTGATGAAAAATACGCTTGGCTATGCCCGGGCCCCCTCACTGGAAGCAACCGCTCACATCTTTCCTTCAAAGCTCGGAGACCAGAGGCCAGCCAAGAAAAGCCAAATACGGGCGTGTCTTTTTTGAGGTGCCACTGTTTGGTGGTTGTAAAGGGAAGCAACAGCAACGCGGCTCCCAAAAGATGGACACAGCCACGTTTAAAGGCGCCTCATACACGTTGTTCAGGTCCCTGGGTTGCACAAACGTCCAAAACACACCCCGCTAAGGGGTTAAACAAAAGGTGGGGTTGATTCCTGTGTTCTCGTTTGCTCCATGTTGTTTCCTTGAATTTCCACAAGCCCACACCAAGCTGCCCGGTGCCGATCGGAACATGTGCCCAAGTTCACCTTTAAGACCGTTTGGAAGAAGCCTTTGTGCACCCTTTCCGCCTTTGGTGTGAAGGTTTGTCCATGCTCCATCTTCGAACAAACGGAAGCAAATATAAGAAACAACCATAGTCAAGAGACAAATCTTCAGCCTTGACGGAACAATAGAAAAGGGTCCCTGTGTTGGGGATACCTCGCTTTGTGTCCGTGTTCGGTTGCTTGGTGGAGACTCTTTAAAGCAGTCTTCCCGAGCAGGCCCCTTCTGGATGACTACTGTGCACCATATTGAGTGAACCTAAATGTAAAATGATAAGGTGGATCCTGCCCCCCCCCCCAGCCACCTTGAATGAGATTCTGGTCCTGGTCAATCTGCAGCGAATCCTAAAATGCAAAATGATAAGGGGGATCCAGTCGAATGGGTGACCGTACCAACCCCACGCGTTGCAATTTGCATCTGTTGGGAAATGCGATGATTTTCCAATACCTCCAAACCCAGTCGAAATCAAAATTGCGCTGTTTCGTTGCGAACTTGGTTTGAAGAAAGCCCTTCCCCCACCCCTCTGTGTATCTTTTTTCGGGGTACCCTTCTATAGGGTCCAATTTTGGGGGTCCCAGCCCCCATTTTCCTAAGATCTTCTGCTCCATATTTAGTCTCCCCTAAAATGTAAAGAACGGTTTTGGAATCGGAGACCCCCCCAAACTGCCAAACAAGATCCCACTCCCATCCTCACTTCCTGAGTGAATTGGCCAAGAAAAGTCCAACCTGTGCATTTACCACCAAAATGGTCCAACCAAACGTCCATAAACGCAGGAAGTAAGCATCAAATGGCCCTTTTTTTCGGCGGAATCCGCCTTGCGCCAACGCCACCAGCCGCTGCCGATCCGCCAATGCCACGGAAGAGGCCTGGCAAAAGGCCGTCGGCCGGAGGAATGCATCACGCTGATGTCTGGGTGTTGGGTGCGCCTAAACCTTCCGCCCGTGCCTAAAGGTCTGGGGTGCTCCTGGCCATGAGGAGAAGAGGGCACCCTTTCTTTGCTGATTCTAAAGGAGACACTCCAACACAAGCCCAAGCAGTCTGGAAACCGTCCGCGTGCCTCGACGATGGCGGAGAAGGCGTCCACCTCAGTCAACGCAACGTGCTCAGACCGGACGCAAATCAGCTGGGCGCGGAGGGTAGGGTGGGGGGTGCCTCGCCCCGTGTTGCTTGTGGGACAGGGTTGTTTCAAAGACCTGTTGGCGATTGCAGGAAGGGCCAACTTTGGTCTATAGATTGTTGACACCCAAGAATTGTAGGTACTATCTTCCATGAACATGTTGTGGATGGACAAAGTCTAGCACCTGCTTTGCAACTGGTTTATCCACAGCAATCCTAGCAGGAGGTCTTCCACCGGTAGTACCTCTGCAAACGCAGGCATAACGCAGGTCGACAATTTCAGTTTTTGGTCGACCCGTATTTCTCCAAGTCCTTGAGCTGTGTGGGCAAAGTAGAGTTGCATCCCCTTTGGCAAAAATATGATTGAACTTTGGGGGCAACAGCAACCCACAGGCCACCAAGTTGAGAGTGACATGACAGACGCAATCCATTTCGCACAGTCTAAGAAACCATGGTTGACACCATTGATCGTTGGTATTTACAGGGGGTCATCATAGGCTTTGCCAGGTGGTGCAAAGTTTGGTTCATCCAAGTAAGTCTGGAAATCAGGAATGATCCGTCCGTGGATCAGTTGTTGTTTGGGATATATATTTTTCCGAAAGGTGAGTAAACAATCAGACACTGGTCCCCAAGGCCAACTAACAGGAGGTTGTCAAACAGGGGTTGACCCAACCCCAGGCAACAGCGTGACGAACTTGTTCTACGAACCCTTGGCATTCGTACCCCCAGGCGAGCGGTCATGATTCGTTCAACTTTTTGGCGTGATGGGAACCAGTGGGGTGTGAATGGGGGACTCCCCCAACAACAAATTGTTTTTCATTTGGATCTGTTTGGCTGTGGGTCAAAAACATGTCCCACAATGGAACCCTGGCAAATGAAGGACTAACACCTGTGGTCCCTGGTTTCATTTTGACCATACCCATGTGGTCCTTTGAGCCAAGCTAAGGGCAGCCTCAACCAAACAAACCGCACCAACGGGCTGAGCGCTCGGCAAAGGACCCGCTGGTTTCCGTCTGCAGCAGCGCCTCGCTCTTGTAGACCTTCCCTCGCGCGAATGCGTTCGCCGCGGAGTGCGGCTAAGGCCCTCAGGCCAGGATTGGCGGGGGCACTCTACTCCAGGGGCTATCAAAGTCAAATGTTGGAATGCATGTCGCGATTTTGAAGGCCTCACTCCCGAGGACCTCCCGGAGGAATGCTGGTTGCCGTGGGAAACACTCGCCCAAAGAACCAAGAAATAAAAAGAAGTGATCACTTTGGGGGCCTTGATTAAAAGTAAAGGCCAATCATCTAGGGGATTCTTTGCAGAACCCAGCTCCTTCCCCTAGGTGTTTGACGGTTTCCCGCAAAGAAGGATCCCTGGAAAGTATGGGGAAGCTTCCCCTAGAAGAAAAGGACAAAAAACAACAACATGTCAAAAGGTCGGCTCTGGGCAAGTGGGGAATCAAGGCTTGGGAGCAACCTTAAGGGTTCGAGTGAGAGAATGCATCTCAGCATGGAGGAAACCAAAGGCCCAAATTGCCCCCTTGTTTCTGCATCTTTCACTTGCAAGGAAATCCTAATCGAAAAAGGCCTAACCAGGTTAAGTCAATCCCTTCGCTCAGATCACGTGCAACGGTGTGCAGCATGGGATTACGCCCTCGAGGAATGACTTACATTGGTACGTGGGACTTTCCCAGCAGGCATGCGCTATGCAGCGTGTACCACCCACCTTAGCCGGGCTTTGGCAGATAAGCGAGCGTGTTTGTTGTGTTTTCCTGATGCCCTTGCAAATTCAGCTTCCCGAGATTTGGTGTTTTAGATTGGTTGGAGGTGCCCTGGAATGATTTCTGGGGAGGTTTAAGTGGAAACCAAAGGGAAACCCGACCAGACCCCCACTTTAACTGGGCTGCTACCAAATCCCTTGCTGAGGGTCTAACTTTAGTGGTTTAGTGGAAGCTTCCAATACGTCCTAAAAACCTAAAACCAAAACATTTGAACACCTAAAAGCCACATGTGTTTTTGTTTAGAACCCCTCCCCCCCAAAAAAAAAATGGGGGGGGGGGGGCAAAAACTAAGGAACCGGATGGCTGGGAACCACGAAGCTAGCGCACAGCCACATTCCGAGATCAGCTGTCCGGGGCCCCGCGATTTTGGGCGACCCCACGCTGCTCGTGGCCCACAATCGCCAGAGCCCGGTCCAGGGCGTCCACGGTTGACACCAGGCCCTCCGGGGGCTTTTGGGAGCAGGTTCCTTGGGGTTGGATGGAAACCTTACATTCCATGGGATCACTACTGTGGGTGGACGAAATCCTGCACCACTTGAGGCCACAAAGATCTGGGCTTTTCTTTATCTCCAGGAAAAAGGGGGCATCTGGCGGTGGGAAAGTCCCCTTTCTCGTCATGGACAAATCAGTAAAAAACGAATTCCTTAGGGGGGGGTTGTATAGGGATCCTTACAGGCTCCTTAGGGTTCCTTAAGCCCACCCTGACCAGTTTTGAAGACATGGACGGCTTTAAATGACCAACCGTGTATCCACGAGCCCTTCATGACCACCAATCCAAACCACCAAATATTGAGGAACACCGACCTGCGGTTGCCAAAAATCCCCGGGCTGAGGGGCGCTTCGACGTTCCCGGCCTGCTCCGCCTCAGCGAAGACACCGGCCTCCTGCGCCCGAAGCTTTTCCGCCTCCTGCGGAGAACATGGCGCCCGGTTTGGCTGCCCGTTTGGGATCTATTCCATTCGGGAATTTGCGCATTAGCCGTGGTTCGGGTTACTTCGGGATACGTCTGCATTTTAGAGTTACTTGTTTGGCGTGGGAAGGAGCTTACCTCTGCCGCAAGAGAGAGAGAGAGAGAGAGAGAGAGAGAGAGAGACGGAGAGACAGAGAAGTTTAAAGTGAAACAAAAAGGAAAGACCATCGTTCTGGTGTTTTCCCTAACTTGCCAACCGCAAAAAGAAGCGCATCGCTATCAAATAAACCTTCATCAGAGGTGATGTCGCCTCCCCCAGTGGCGTCGCTGAGAATTTGCGCAGATTGACGATTACAATGCAGCATTCTGAGATATGTCTCAGTTGTGGTGATATCCCCATTGTGTGGATATGCTGAATCGCAGGCCCTATGGCGGGCGCTTCTGAAAAGTTAAATACTTAATCATACACATATGGTCATGAATGTTTGCATATGTGTATATAGCTGCCTATGCCTAGATGTATAAAGAAATCTTGTGCCGAGCTCTTGTACTCAAACATATTGATGTATGTGTACGCCAACAACATTCACATGTATGCATATATACAACTAAATGGATATAGATAGATGGATAAATAGACAGACAGATAGATAGATAGATAGATAGATAGATAGATAGATAGATAGGTAGATAGATAGACAAGATAGATAGATAGATAGATAGGTAGATAGATTGATAGATAGATAAACAAATAGATAATTTGATAGGATAGTTAGACACATATATTTATTTGATCGATAGATCGGTAGATCGATAATCAAGTTGAATAAGCATTTTGACGTATTACACAAATATATAATATGAATATGACCATTTAATTGTTCATGGGTGCAACATAGCAACGGGATTCTGGAAAGACTTGCTTATCATCGATCCCCCATTGAATATCTTCAGGTGCATCCGACCACATGCGCTACTTGCTGCCGCATGTATGTGTGTGTGCGCGTAAGGGTGGCTATAGAGGAATTTCTCACCACTGAGGTCCCCTAAAATGGTTGGTTTCCTTTGGGCGCCACTGTAAATACCAAACAAAGGGCGTCCATCATGCCGAAAAAACACTCATACGCATGGCATCGTTGCTGCGTGCGTAGCCATGCGTATCATGTTTCGCATGTGCCCTTTGGCGCTCATGCCCGCATCTTGGGCTTAAGGTGGCTTAGTGCCTAGCCATGACTCAAGCTTCAGCCTAATACAAGCTACGCAGGTTTTCCCCCTTCAAGCCTGACACCTGGAAGTGCAGTTGACAGCCTGCAATAATAATAATCGGACCTCCCTCGTTCGTCAAGTCAGCTTCCCTTGAAAAGGTTGGGAGCCGGAAGGTGCGTTCCGGGAATGCAAAGAAGCATTTATCCTCACGGGGGGTTCCCTGCAACTTGGGGTCCAGGGGAATGCCGAAAAATCAGGGTGGTGAGCCACTTGGGGGTGGTGAGCCACTTTGGGGGGAACACCCCCAAATCGCAAGGTTGGCTCCACTGATCGGCGGACTTATAAGTGGGTAATAACCTACTTTACCAACAACTGACGAACTTGGCCGAACATCCAAGTAGCTCAGTTGAAAGCGCATGGGCCTTTTGAGGGAGCAAGAAAACAAGGGGAGTGGCACGCAATGACTGCGCCTGAGCCCCAAGGCGGGGTTTCTTCTTGGGCCCTCGATGAACAGCCAGGCAAGCCCTACTCACACCCTGAGATACTCAACTTTGTACTTTTTGGCCGGACCGTTGTGGTGGCAAACAACAGGCTCAAGCCAATCCACTCCGAAAGTGGGCCGAATAAGTGGTTTTGGATTGATGATAGCAAAGCGCGCGCGCAGATATAATCAGTTGTATGACCTACGGACAACACTGTTTGTTCCATACGAGGGCATGGACAAAGTGGGTTGCGCCCATGGTTTTGTGCGAAACTTAAGTTGCGCCCCCCCCCCCACCCCCCCACCCCATGCCCTTCGCAAAACGACAGTAGACAACCACAATGTTGTCAGTTGAATATGGTCCAAGATTGTTTCAGCTCTGACACCTTCATTGGTACATCATATCCCTCAATCAGCAAATCATTATGGGAAGCCTGGCCGAATCCCCAAATAACCCTGCTCACTTGCCCAAAGGACCTGGAAAAACAAGTTTAGCTTTTGGGGTCATGACTGAACACGGACCAAACATGGAAAACCAAGAGATCAGATCAGGTCGGTTCGCTTTCTGCAAGTAAGCCTGGCATGGGTGCATGTTTGGCCTAGGCTCCGTCTTGAGCCAACTTGTTGGTCGATTCGCTTTGGCGACCGCGCCACAAGGAATATGGGATCTTTGCGTCGAAAACATCATCTGGCCCGGTGGCTCTTCCAAACAAAGAACACTCGGTGTTGTTGGTTTACCCTAAACAATCCCCACAAACACAGCCACCCCAGACCACCCATTCGTCGGAAGCTTTCGATCGAGTCCTGCAGATCTGCCTCATCTGAAGCGAGGGTCATGGCCAGCTCCTGTTTCGACAGGCGTTCAAGCAACAAAATCGGCTCAGGCCCATCACAAATCCATATGGAGCCCAAAAGAAGAACCCCCCCCCAAAAGGCTTCTCTACAGAATGGCTTTTGGGGTTCCATGACAATCTGTAGAGGAGTACCTGGTCTTGGCTGGGCTGTCCGAATTTCGGATCCCCTGCTAACAGTGACTCACTTTTAGTGGGTCAAATGGAACCCAAGCACGAAACTAAACCAGCTAAAAACAAAAAAAAACCTCAGATTTCGCCAACATGGAGCATCCAAACTTCTGTATAGCTTCCCTGACGCCAGCCAAAATGGGGCTCACATACCATAGGCTGACCATTTTGAGACATAAAGCATCCACCACAGCAACAGGGACCCGGAACCCTTAAAACCCAAAGGGAGCCCCGGTTTTGGGAGACTTCGGCCTTCGCCTACGGGTGACATGACACGAATTGTCTAAATGACCTACTTAGTTTTAAGCACTATATAGTCTCACTTGCCCAAAGCCGACAATTCTCCAGATCCTTTGGGCAAGTGAGTGCTGTGTACCCAGGATGCCTTCTGCACTCATTCATAGCCGTTGAATTTGGGGTATGTCCGCTCCCAGTTGTTAATCAGGCTGTCTCCTGGAAGAAAGGAATCCCCACAAAAGGGGCCCTCCTTATTTTTCTTGGATGCGCGTTTTTCGTTGGCAACCCACCTCCCTTTGTTTTGAGATGCGTGGAGGGCTTCCCCGAACCATCGGAAACATGATGAGCAACGATATCCCCCATCGGCCTCGATCTTGTTGCTGGAGGCCTCCAGCCTGTGCGGATCCAAGCTGGGTGAACAAAAACGGGACGGGTTCATCTCGCTTGCCCCTGGGACCCAAAAATATAAGGTCAGTTAATCCATTTACCTGTTTCGTAGGCAGCCAACAGAACCACCCGAGAAAAAACAAAAGGATCCACTGGGAAAGGTGGTCACTTTTTAGATTGCCACCAAAAATGGAAATAGCTGGGCCTAACTTAAACCAGGACAATGGCTTTGACCTTCTTTCCGCTACTTTGAGGCCATTGGACAGCCATGGGGGGGGGGGGTCCTGGAAGTGGTTCACTTTTGGGACCTGGTCATTTTTCCCTCGAAACCAGCAGCTGGCTGGTTTCATGTTGAGCATGTCTTGCTGAAATGGACACTCAGTGGCCCATTTCATAAAAGGTGATCACCTTTTGGGGTGACTAAAGACGGGAACCAAAATGGGCAAACCAAAAGGTCAAAAGTTTTAGACCACTAAGGTAACAGTCGAAGATGCCTTTCGAAAAAGCAAATGGCCATATAAAGGGGCCCCTCTGTCCTCATAGCCGCTGCCAAAAGTGAATCACTTGCGGGCGAAATGGAAACCCAAGGACTAAACCAAATACAAGACCACTCAACACCTAAGTTGAACTGGCTGGTTGAACCACCAAGGACACTGTCCGGCTTAACCTATGTTTAAGCACTTTTCCGGGAACTGCAAAAAAAAAAAAAAAAAAAAAAAAAAAAAAAAAAACTGGGCCAATCACTCGGCCAAGGAGCTCAAGCTTGGCTTGGGCGAGGTCGGCCTCCGATTTCTCCTTCTCTGCCTCGTCAACAGCCAAAGGTTTCTTGCTGGTTCGAACGACCCCAACAAAACCATCCCCTATGGCACTATGGTCTCCTTTCAGGGAATCCCCTTCCGGTTCATTCCCAAAAGCCTGGGCCATTTCCTACTGAGCACCAAGGCTAGTGCGAGCTTCAGATTTTAACGAGGAAGTGGTCAGCAAGAGCATCTGGCTAACTTGGATCTCCTGAATGTTAAACCGGATTTGAAAGAGGACCCGAGTCAGCGGAACCTAAACAGATTGTAATTCTCTCAAGCTGCCATTTCCATCAGGTCTCTCCATAGGAAACGGTTTGGGAAACCAGAATTTGTAAACGGTTGGTTCAGGTTTTACATTTCCTCCCACTAACATGGAGCCTGACAGAAGATCACTTTACGAGAAAAACATGTCTTCCAAGGGGTCCTCCTCAGGCTCCCTGTTAATGGGAAGGAGGGCAACAATAAGCCCAACGAGCATCCCGAAACCTGAACATGCCCAGGATTTGCTCAGATCCAGCAGCTTCTGATAGAACAAAACCACATCTCGTCTGAGCCGGGCCGCTTGAAACCAGCTCCAAAAACCGTGAGAGCATTTTCAAAAACACGGGGAACACGGCAGCCAAACCTTTTTTAGCCAAAGGGAAGGACCATGCGAATAAATTTTCAAGCCGGAAGCCAGAAGTACTCAAGTAAGGGACCTTGATCATGGGAGATGGTGTTTTCTTCAGACTGCCCCCCGAAATGACCTTTGCCCACTGCAGATTGCCAGTGACTAGCCCAGTTAGAAACCCAGGCTTGATCTATGACGCGTTGGATCGTGGCGTCACCATGCCTGTCTGCCATATGAACATCAAGGAAGACAATGTTTTTTTTTTCACCACTAAAACGTTATTCAAAAAGTTCAAAGTCTGCGGGCTCCGGGCATACGTCAGGGGTTTACTGCGGGGTTAACTGTGAGTTAGCGACGAAGGCAACAGCCTTGACATCCTCGTGGCTATAGCGCAGCTCTCGCGACCTGCGGGCCAGGGTCTTAAGCCGTAGTCCCCCTTTGGGGAGTTCAACCCCTGGTTGTAGAGGGTAAATTGGAAACTGTTTCTAATTGGAGGGAAGCTGATAATGGGTGGTTTGGAGCCCGGTGGTGTGGAGATGCTCCGGGGTGGTTCTCGTTTACCCTCCAAAAGAGCCAGGTTCAAATCCGCAGCTCCCACCAATTCCAACCACCAACTAAGGGTTACCTGATACATACCTGGTCTTTACCCCCGTTTAAAAAAGCAAAGTTCATATCTAGGGAAACAGACCTGCGGGCTATGTATCCCCCATGGCTTCCTGTTGGAAAAGTCCTGCCAAGGTGAAGAAGGGTACACTCAAAAAACACGGCTGCCCACAGTTTTCAGAAAACCACAAAGCGTAAAGTTAAAAGGCCAAGAATCGGCCGTCAAAAAACAACAACAACCCAACCCCCGAGATCGCAAGTCCATTCCCGATTTGCACCTCCGGCTGCAGAGCTTCTTCTCTTCCCCAAAGACCTGGGAGACTCGATCTGATCGATCGGGGCTTCGCAGGCTACATTCCAAAGACAGCTGCACAAAGACTTGGATGTATCCGAAAGGGACCTACTAACTTGCCGTTGTCCCTCAACTAGAACCGTTTTTTTGGATTTTCAGTGAAGGACCTTCATTTAGCTGGTTTTGTCCCTCGATATCATTTGTTAGCCCAGGTTCTGGGGCTTTTGCAGGGAACCTTCTAAGGGTGGTTCTTGCTTTGGGTTTTCTCTGTGAAAGACCCTTACTCCTTGAAGCCCTCCCTACCAACTGGTGCAAGATTGTGGCCATCCACAGTATGTTTCATAGTTTGTCCCTCACTGGATGGAAATGTGGGGGCATGTGGTCCACCCGCCCCCACTTGAGCTGTTGCCTCCGTTTGACTCTGCCTCTATGCGTCTTTGAAGGGGGTGCAGGCGAATATTCCCCCCTCCCCCCCCCCCCAAGAAAACCGTTAAGCCCAAAGGGCATTTGAAGAAGGACGGGCCCATGTCGGCGGCTTGCCTCCCAACTGAATGGAAGTTTCCCACCCCTCATGAGTCTGAAGGGGTTGACATTGACTCGTCGGAAGAGGACATTGTTGAACCCATCTGCGCAAGCAAAAAAAACAGTTTGCTCACTTCCTGAGTGGGTTGGCCAAACAAAGTCACTGACTTGTTGACGTATTGCTTTCCAGCGAAATGATCTTCTAAAAAGCTTGTCCAGAAATCCTGAAAACTGGGAAGGTGAGCTTTGGAAGCTGAACTGCCCGAACTGACTCGTGCGCTCCATTTTCCAACAGCCTCACTCCCGCGTCGTCGCCGTCCTCCATCAGCTCCTTGCCCGCTCCCTGGCCGTGCGTCGCCGCTCTCCCGCGTGCCGCGTGTCGCCCGTCGAGGCATTCGCGGTCTGGTCGGGGCAATGCATCGGCCGAGTTCAGCGCGCCAGCCTCGGGGAAAACTCGGAATCAGCACACTCAACGAGAACTCAAAGAATGGCAACCCGGGAGTAATAACCCCCCCGTTTGATTTAAAGGGGGTGTCCCCTTTTTTGTAACGGTTCAGACCATTTTGCGAGGGGAACAGCCCCTCATTGAACCCGAAGTAATCTGGAGGGAGCTGATAAAATCTAAACCGTTAAACCTGCGAAACAGCCAGAAGCCACTCCAACAGATCCCTGCAACTCTATCACTTAGGGAGATTGCTGAGTAAAAATCACAACTGGGCCTCTTCGATTCCCCCAATCATGTGTCGACTCCTGATCTACGCAAGGGAATCGGTTTCGCCGAGTGACAGGTTGACGCCTGTCACTAATCACTATGCACTGGGAAAGGAGAGCTGTTCTCAGAACCTCTTGCAACACGTCCTTGGAAGGGTATGAGAAGCTTCCTGGTGGGTAGGGCCCGATTTTGGCTTCCTGAAGGTCAGTGACTTCGCATAGTCAATGCCACGATAGGCCGCTGCAAAAAAGCAATGCGTCGGTCTTGTTTCGGGGGTTATGTCGGGGTACCCCTTTCAGGTTGTAGAGCGAAACCGAGAAGTTACCCATCCGGTAGCAGTGTGTTCCTGCGCGTTTGTTTCCCTATGTCTGGTTACCATCCTCTTGACCAGTTTGGGTCCACTACCACCCTGAAGCCCCAAACTGGCAATGCAGCAATGCAGTGCTGGCAACTCTAGAAATCAGAGTTGCAGCTCTTAGAAGCTTTCTAAAACAAGGTGGCCTGATCTTTCTCCCCCCTTAAAGCACTCTAACCCCTGAACCCGCCCCAAACCAACCCTAAATCAACGCTGGGTAGACTCGTTGTTCACCTAAGTCTTGGCCAAATTTCTCGGGCACACGGAAACTCATGTTCAGCTTCTGCTTCATATTTGTCAGCCCTAAAACGGAGAAGACCTCCTAAATAAATCCTGGGACACCACCCCCACCACCACCCCCAACCCCACCCCCACTCCCTTGCTGGCCGGCCTCTCGCCCAGCTCCACCGCCGCCAGGTCGTAGATGGAGAAGTTCCGGAGCTGCGGGGTGGCCTCCTTGCTGCGAAGCGCGGTTTAAAGGTGTTCAACTTGAAAATTGGGTGGAATCCATTTACCCGCAACTCTGGCAAACTGGAGCAAACTGACTTTATTGACATCAATGAAACATCACGATGCTTGCATTTTCATCCCTATCCCGAGCCGCCTCCACTCGGAAGACCAGCGAGCGCCCCAGAAGCGCCACGTAGTGGTTGGCGCGCCACCGGCTCACGTCCAGACGATGCCTGGACTTTTGCTGGAGACCAGAGCATCTGGAGATTCAGACCGTTGAAACAATGGCCGGGTTCTGGGTTTGTATTTTGGTGGTTCCTTTTTCGGACCTGCTGGGATAATCACACTTTCTGGGCCACTAAAATGATGGACAACGAAAAGTTTGCCAACTCTGCCTGCAAGTTAATTAGGACCCCTCGGTGCACATCATTTACGTGGGGATTCATGTCCACCAATGCTTTTGAGGAGGTATTGAGATTCTTAGCCTTTTAACCTTGGAAGGAGTCCTGGGAACATGGGGTGGGCAGGACCGCGTCTGTCGAGTTCGGCAGACGTCGCTTTTTCTCTGCTGGTTCTATAGTTGCATGAGACTCTTCAAAGCACCACTCTGGTGCTACTGAGGCCTTATTCGCAAAACGGTGCCTCCTTTTTGCCGTATAAGGGTTAGTGCCAAAATGGGAGGATTGCCCAGCTCCACTGGGCAGCTCCCCTCAGCAGCTGATGGGAGTAGGATTGATGCTTTGGCCAGGCCTGCCATCATATCCCAAGGGTATCTGCTAAGAGTCGAGGACTCGTTGGTGCCCACATGTGACTGATGCGTGCACCGCATTTGATCCCAATCCTGAATTGGGAGATCCGTGGCTAGCGTAGTGGCCTTCTTGACCAGCTGGCCCAGGCGGCACTGGTCGAAGGAGATTGCTGTCAAGGAGTTTGCCTCCATCCAAAGCTGCCCCTCCTCCGTGATCCAGAAGGATGAGCATTCCTTGGCTTTGGGCAGCGAGCTGCTCACCACTGGGTCCTCCGGGTGCTCCAAGAAGGACTTTGGCCCTGGCAGAGAAACCGCCGCTCTTGAGGCCCTTGCCAGGCTGGTGATGTACATCTGCCTCAAAATGAGGATACTGTCATCATCAAGCTGAGTCTGGGCGGCCTGGTCCAGGTGTGGGAGGCCCCAAAGTGTCTCTCGAGTGCGCCCTCGCACCGGGGTGGGGGCCCCCGGTTTTGGTATGTGGCGCAGGATGGACCATGTCCTGCAGTTGGGTCCTCCTCCAATGAAGACCACTCGGCCCTGCTTTGCTGCCGTGCAGAGAGCTCCATACAGCTCGGGTTGGAGCATGTCGTGGTTCCCTTTTGGTCCCGATCGTAGGATGTCTACCGCCACCACCATGCTGGAAAGGTGTGGGTAGTTGGCATGAAGACAGCTGTCCAAGGAAGTTGGGTCTTCCTTGCCTGCATAGAGCAGGACAATAATGGGCCCACTGGATGGAACTTTGGGTGATGTGCCCTGTGTCCATCTCAGCCGCTGTACCAAACGCTCCGGGATGTTCTCCATCCACGGGAAGATGTCCCATCCCGGTGACGGCTCCGTGGGACTTGTCAGGGGGGTAGCTGAAAGGCGCTGGCCCCCTTCATTCAGCCCAACCGAGCTCTTATAAAAAACCACCGGGTCCTGCTTGATGATGTTGGGCGCCGGAAGTGGGATCGGCTGCCTCCTGGGCGTGTTCCTTGGCGTTGCGGTGTGCTGCCAGTTATCCGGCAATCGGGCCTGCTGGGCGCGGCCCCCCGTGTCAGGGCCCTTGGCACCTGCAGGGAACCGTCCCGTCCCTGCCGTTTCAGGGCCCTCGGCACCCGTGGCTCGGGGCTGAGGCGCCGCCGTTGTGCCAGCTGTGTGGTTGTTCTGACCCCAGCGAGGGTGTTGTGCACGCTGGTTCTGCCGTCCCCATCCTTGTTCCGCCGAGGATGGCCGCCACCTGGCCTGTCCCCCCCCTGTGTCAGGGCCCTCGGCACCTGCAGGAGGGGGCTCATGTGCCTGCTTGGGGCGTTCTCGCCCCCCCGGGCCTTATCAGGGCCCTCGGCACCTGAGGCCTCCCGGGGGGTCGGGGTCAGCGCCCCTAGTCAACCCGGGCAGTCCTGCGGGAGGTGGTCTCCCAGGCAGATGCGGCCCGTTGCCAGGATGAGGTTGCACTTGTGGGTGCGTCCGCAGTTGCCCGGGCAGCGCCCGCGCATCCAGTTGTTACAGAACTGGTTCCCTTTCGGATCGGTGGCCGCCTGCTTGTTACCGCCCCTGGACGCCTGATTGTGCGGCTGGGGGGGCTTACCTTTCCCTTTGCTCCCAGGCTTGCCCCTAGACTTCCCCTTACCCTTGGACTTGTTCTTGCCCTTCTGGGGTGGTGCGTAGTCCATGGATGTCCTGGTTTGTGGGCGGCCCCTGGAAAAGGTCCTGATCTTCTCATAGACCTCACGTGTCCAAAACAATGTGTCCTGCCTGACCGACAGCATGGCCACCTTGAGGGTGCTGCCCTCGTGCATCTGCTCGTGAATCTTCCGCCATGCGTTGCGTTCGGCAATTGCCAGGACGTGGTCCTCTGGCGGGGGAAAACGGCCCCCGATGTCCTCCCCATAGAACCACTCGTACCAGCTCTCCAGGTCCTCCCGGGTGATGTCGAACTGGCCGAACTGCGGAAACGAGAGGACGCACATAAGGAGGGTGTTGCGGAACACCGCGTGCATCCTCTCGAGTTGGTGGCGAGTTTTCGGCTCGCCCCGCTCTTCCACCTCGTCCTCCCGGTCCCAGCCATCAACCGTGGTCTTCTTGGCGGTCTTCCATGGCCGTTCTCCTGGTTCCGGGAGTGCGCTTACCAGGTATTTCATGGGGATGAAGCCGATCTCGCCTCCTGCGCAGAGCTTGAACTGGCGCTTCATCAGCTGGTCGCTTCCTTGCAGGGCCAGCTTGGGTTTGGTGAGTTTGGTCTTCTCCTCCCAAACCCTCTCCAGCTGTCCCCGTTCACACGAGACCGTGAGATTCGGGGCCGTGTCCCCGGGCGTGTGCGGCCCGGGTCCCGATGTTGCATGTGCCCCCACTCCCATGGATCGTTGAGCCGCGTGAACCACCTGGAACATACGGGCCGCGATCAGCCGGGAGGTCACATCCGTGTAGTGGTGGTTGTTGGGGGCGAAGCCCAACTCCCCCGGCGCCGTCTCCCTTGCCCGGTCGGGCGAGTCCCACCGGGTCGCGAGGTCCTCCATCGAGACAAAACCCTCATCCGACAGCGTCGCTTGGATGAACCACGGGATGCCCTTGAGGACCATGAGGTTCCTGGCGGTCTTGTGGAGCTTGGCCACTGCGTCCGCATACACTCCGGGAATCTCCTGTGGTGGTGCCACCAACTCATCCGGCGGCACCGCCATGGTGTGGGTGGGCGGGATTTCAGATTACAAGACAGAAGGTCAGAGTCCACTTGAGCCAAAATGGTGGCCCAAGTGGACACTTATGAAGAGTCAAGACAAGCGACCACCTGCGGTTAACGCTTTAGCCCAGACTCTTCAAAGCACCACTCTGGTGCTACTGAGGCCTTATTCGCAAAACGGTGCCTCCTTTTTGCCGTATAAGGGTTAGTGCCAAAATGGGAGGATTGCCCAGCTCCACTGGGCAGCTCCCCTCAGCAGCTGATGGGAGTAGGATTGATGCCATTCCCAACGGACGGATCGCATCAGCTGCCAATACCAACGGACGAGCTGGTCGTTGGGGAGGTCCTCCTTCCCCGTATGCCGTGGGGTCCCGCTGTCGCATCTCAGGGCCCTCGGCACCTGTGCGTGCAACTGTCCTGCTGCGGACCCTGGGGGGTGCCTGGGAGGGCGTCTCAGGGCCCTCGGCACCTGCGCCCTCTCCCCCTGCCGTCTTGCCTTGAGGAACGGGGGGAAGAGTGTCAGGGCCCTCGGCACCTGCTCTATCCACCCCTCACTCAATTTCCGGGAGGACGATCGCCTCCTTGTCCGACTGAGTGTCCACGCTCTCGTCGGTGTCCGAGGAGAGGGAGATGGAGGCCTCGGAGTCCTGTGCTGCATAGGGCTCCACGGCCATCCACGTGTTCGGGAAGGTGAAATGCCGGAAACATCTGGTGCATCCCAGGTACATCTCCGGCTCAGCATGGAAATCCTGCTCTGCCAGCTCCGAAATCTTGAGCGGCCCCGGCCTCCAGCCGCACCCCACTGTGACTCCATCCGTGTCCAGTAGGTGCATGCTGTAGGCTTTGGTGGGACCCTTTCGGGCCGTGGTGGCAATCACCGTCAGTGGACCCCGAGGCGGGGGCACCTCATCTGCAGCCACCTTGGTGATGGCCGGCTTGTCGGCGGGGATCACATCCCAGCTGGCATTTGAGGGCGGTGTGTCCGGGACTTCCTTGAACAAGGCCTTCGGTGAGGCAGGGCACTCCACCTTGTCCTCCCAGTCCTCATGTCCGAGGTCGACTCGGACCGCCCTTCCTGCCTCGAGTTGCATGGACGGGAGCTTCTGGAGAACCTGGTCCCAGATGGAGCACACCACGTGTCGCTTCTCTCGGGTGTAGACGTCCGCCGTGGACTCCTTGAACCAGTTTCCCAGGTACTGGCGTTGGTCCCTCGGTATGTGCGCCTGGAATGCACAATCCGGCATGAAGACCCGGAAGGAGTACCACGAAAGTTCAGCCACATCCTTGGCTGGCGCGCCCTGCTTCCCCAAGGCGTCTTTGAGCCACCTCAGGGACCTGTCTGGGGTGCCTGGGCGGGGGATGAAACCCGTCCTGTCCTTGTTGATCGTGGGGATCAGGTAGTCCATCTCGCGAAACTCCTCCGAGGCCCTGAATCTCTTCCACCACCTCTCCAAGGGGATCCACCATCTGGCCCCCGAGAAAGAGAATAATGGGGCGATGAGCGGGACCGGGTTCCGTTTGATGGCCACTGCCGACGTGGTCTTTGTCTGCCAGGCTAGCAGCTCCAGGGTGTTGCTCGTGGACCTGACCGTCTGCGGCGAGGTGTGCTGCACGTCGTTGAAGCGCGCACTGCAGGCCAGGTTGAACCTGGCCATCGCCATAATGTACCTGTCTACTGCTTTGGTCAATTCAGGGACCCGGTTCTCCGAGGGGGCCCCTTCTGCCCCTTGTTCCAGGGCCCAAACAATCGCCCGGGTCGGAACCACCGCTTTGCGCTGTGGCTTGACCTGGGTGTCCACCAGCGTCTCTTGGATGGCTTTCCGCTTTGC